GTCAAAAGTTGTTGGGTGTTTTCGAAGGTATATCTCTATATCTACGTTGTTGGGTATTTTTTAGGAGAAAAGAGGCTCAGAATCGTGTTTCGGAGGTCGAGGACTTTAATTTAGTGTAGTTTTGTATTTTTCGGCCACCACCTGGAATCGCCAGAGGACGGTGTTTCACGATGGTCGGTCATCCCTCTGGCGAAGGAATTAGAAAGAACCAAAAGCTTCTCTCTCCTTAGAGAGCGAATCAAAATGGAAAAATGAGAATAAAATTTCATTTAGGGCCAGTTTTGGGTTATATATACCCTCTCCCATGTGACGTCGTTTTGGGGAGAGGGGCTTCTAGGTAATTAACGTATGGGTAAATTACACCTGTGGTCCCTATATATCTATACGCCTTGCAAATTAGTCACCAAATCAGGTTTTTATGTATTTAAATTTTGTCTTCGAATTTTGTTTTATTTGATTTTAGTCACACTTATATATTTACATATATTTTGGGTAAGATTACATATTTAGTCCTTATTATTATTATAATTTATATTTTAATCCCTAATTATTATTATAGGATTATTTACACTAATAGTACCTAGATTTTGAAATATTTCAAATTTAGGCCATAAGTTTTGTCACTTTTCAATTTAATCGTTTAACTTTAATATTTTAATTTTAAATATTATTTTTAAGATCATTTATTATTATTGTACCTCACATACATAATATTTGCATTAGTAACCTAATATTCTAGTAATTTCAAATTTTAAATTTATTATATATATTTGGATTATTTGATTTTATACAATGAATTATAAAATGTCTCATTAATTAATTAGGAAGATAATTTAAATAATTGTTGGTATAAAATAATACCCTAATATTTTGTCAATAGGATTTAAAATTAAAAACAAATGTATAAATTTATTGCAAAGACAAATAAATTAATTAACACCGGTACCAATTTTTGGGCGTTGTGGGGATGCTAATCCTTCCCCATACGTAACCGACTCTCAAACTCATTTTCTGGTAAGCATACCTATTTGTGTTATTTTAATAATATTTTTAGGAATTTTATTAAAATAGCATTTTAGTAACCAATCTCACCAAATTAAAAGATTGGTGGCGACTCTACACATTAGTGTTCTATCTTATGTTAGAAGATAAACACTCACATTTTCGAGACTAGTTACACTTAAGTGTACTATTTGCACTCTCCTTCGCCGGGAAGAGAAATGTCTCGACATATTTGTTCTGACAAATTTTGTTTGTGGTTATATATTTTAATTATAGTGACAAAATATATAGTCACAAATGATTATCTCCAATTTGTGATACAAAAACAAAATTATATAGTGACATGATTTGTAACTATAAGCTATAATTATTATTATAAAAAAAAGTTGTCACAACAAATAATTATAGTGACAAAATATATTGCCACAAAGATTTCCCTCCATATTTTTTGTGCCAAAAAGCCATATAGTGACAAATTTTGTAACTATAAGTGTTAATAATTATTACAAATAACATTGTCACAAAAAAATAATGATATTGATGTTTTTGTGACAAATTATATTTGTAGTTATAAATTTTAACTATAGTGATAGCATATATTGTCATAACTATTTTTCTCCATTTTTTGTTTCAAAAGTTATATTGACAATTTTTATAATTATAATTTATAGTTATTGTTATAGAAAAATTATCACATCAAATATAAATTTAAGTTTTTTGTAATTAATTATTTTTGTACTTATATATTTTAATCATTATGAAAAATTATATTATCTAAACCATTTCTTCATATTTTTTTAGTGTCAAAAATGTTATATAGTAATAAAATATATTCTCATAAATATTTTCCTCCATTTTTGCGCAAAAAACTCATATAGTAACAATTTTTGTAACTATAAGTGTTTATAGTTATTACAAAAAAACATTGTCACAAAAAATAATGGTATTCATATTTTTGTGACAAATTATACTTGTAGATATAAATTTTAATTATAGTGATAATATATATTGTGATATATATTTTTCTCCGCTTTTTTTGTTTCAAAACGTTATATTAACAAGTTTTGTAATTATAGTTTATAGTTATTGTTATAAAAAATTATCACAACGAATAATAAAAATTAAGTTTTTTCTAATCAATTATTTTTGTAGTTATATATTTTAATCATTATGAAAAATTATACTATCAGAAACATTTATGCCTATTTTTTGTGCCAAAAATGTTATATAGTAAAAGATTTATAGTTGTTATTACTGTAAAGTCAATCGAAAAGATGAAATAGCCAAGAAAGGGGTAAATTAACAATTAAAAAATTTGGTGGGAGTTTCAGAGAAAAAGTAAACAAATGAACACTAAGTATCGGTACTATTTTAGTATATTGGAATTTGACAGACTCAAAACAAAAAAGGTAGTATCGGTACAACTACTAAGAGTATCGGTACTACTACACTAAGTAGTATCGGTACTACTACACTAAGTAGTATCGATGCCAATATATAGTATCAATACCATTTTAGCATTATGTTTTGACAGTATCGGTACTACTTACTAAGTAGTATCGATATTGTAAATAGTATAGGTACCATTTTAGCATTTTGTTTTGATGGTATCAGTACTACATAGCAGTATTGGTACTTCTTCATTGTTTTGGGCTTCAACATCGATATCTATATTGATACTTCTTGAACAGTATCGATATTGTTCTAGTAGTATCGATACTACTATACTTAAAAATCATTTTTGACTCGATACTGTTCTAGTAGTATCTATATACAATTTTTATCATTTTTATTAATATTATTATAATTTTTTATTTATTTTATATTTTAATAATATATGAATCTCATCATGTTCTCTACACTATGCTTTAATTATTTATTATTATTCTTATTATTATTATTATTTTCTTAAGAAGATATATAAAGATACTCTAATCAATAATAATAATCGTGCTATGCTCTTAATAGGGGTCTGATTTTGTTTAATATTTAATCTATTGTGATATTTTATTTTATTATTTTAACATTATATGAATCAAAGAAATAATGATATGCTCTTAATAATATTATTAAATAATAATTTTTAAATAAATAATTAATTTAGGAGGGAAATTTTCCTCTATTTTATTTTAAAGGAAATTGAGTTTTAGGGGAAACTAATTTTTAGAGAAATTTATTTTTATTTATTATATAAATATTTTTTAAAGTCCTCAGTTTTGTCTTGGGATTTCTGTGTTTGACAAAAAAAATAAAGAAATAAATAAAAATAGAAATAGAAATCTAAGGTTCAAGGAAATAGAATCGGGCTGAACCGGATAAAAGGAGTCGGTTAAGGTAATTGTTGTTGCGTAGAGAATATAAATAAACAACAGACATCTGAAGAGAGCGGCTTTAGTGAAAGAAGAAAAATAAGCATTAGAAGAGGGCTCTCTCTTGGTGGAGCTTACCCCCAGTTTATCCTTTACGATTCCATTATCAAACCATTAAAGGTATTTTTCATATCTAACCCCTCTTTTTTTCTATTCTGTAATTTTAAATTTATTTTTTAGGCTACATGGAACTGTCCAAATATTTATTTCTTGGCGGAGAAAAGATGGATCGTTACCAGAGAGTGGAGAAGCCGAAGGCAGAGACACCTATTGATGAGAACGAGATTCGTATTACTAGTCAAGGCAGGATGCGCAATTATATCACTTAAGCCATGACTTTGCTTCAGGTTTTTTTTCTTCTTCTTCTTCTTCTTGTTTATTTTCTGCGTATTTAGATCTTTATATGAGTTGGATGTTCGCTTTCGTTTTAAGGATATGCACTAGTACTGTTATTTGTTAAGTGTTCGTAGCTTTCAGTGGGCGCACCTGCCAGAGTAGGTGCGTCGGCAGCTGCACTTCGAAGGTTCATTGGCAAGTGAAGTAAAAGGGAAATGTAGAGTGTTTATCCTCTAAGATTCCTCCACTCTTTATCCTCCTAAATGTATTGCAATAAATTTTATTCCTTGGGGAACGAACTGCAAACTTAAAAACATAGTTTTTGTGTCAGATAGTTCAAGTTAATGAAGAAGAAAGGAAAAAAAAATAAAGCTTTTTAGCTGATCTCGAGCATTTGGAACTGTTTTTACTTAATTCATGGTTGCTTAGTTTATATGGTTTTGGATAACAATGTTTTTATATTTTGAATTCCATTTCTTTTTCTTTTTTTATCCCATTTTTCATTTCATTTGCAGTAAAACCGTGATGCCATATAATTACAGATCTTGGTCTTGTGATATTTGGAGATTATTATGTGCCAATCGCCATCCTTTTGTATTTGAGTAATTGCTGTTGCTGGTAAATTTTATGAAATTTTAGAGGTTTATGAAGATCAGTTACTTAAAAAGTGTTTTGAGTCCTTGGTTAACTATATGTACACCAGTTCAATCCATGAACTGAAATCTGAATGATTTGTTATTGGATTTGAAAGTTTATTGAAACATTCGTGCCTGTGATAAGAACTCTGGTTATTTCAGTGAGATTGATCATATAGTTGGCTTCAAAGTTGTTCTGAATTTTATTTAAGATTGTACCGTTTTAGTTGTCAATGGCAATCGGCATAGTTCTATATATTTTAATAGTGAAAATAACATTTTTTTAGCTTGGTAATGATCAATGATTCAATGTTTATTGAGTGAAGTGGATAGGTTTTTTAGTAATTGTAATTATAGTTACATGAGTAATGCATTAAAAAATTATGATCCCTGTTATGCCTCTTTTCATTTTGTTATGCATGTGGTTTATTGTTGCTTAAGCAGACATGGCTACCAAGCAGCCACATACAATCCTCTTTGTAGGACTGAACAAGGGCCATGTTGTAACCTAGAAGGAGTTGGCTCCACGTCCATCTAATATAAAAGGAGTAAGTGTATTCTATGCCGTAATTTTCGCAGAATAGTTGTCTTTTGTTGAAATAGGAAGGAAAAAATAGCCAATGTTAGCTATTTTGTTATTCCATTTAGTTTATCATTTGGAAGGTTTAACAAATAGAATAACGAAGACTGTAACTATTGCGGAGTTAATTAAGGTAATTTTGTATGTATGATGTTGCCTGAGTGTTTGTGAATTTTATTCTTGCTTAAGATAGTTGACAATGTGCTTCATCTACTTGCTATGCAGAGAAGAATTGTCGGTCTTCATCAGATTACATCTATTGGATCCACGGATATAACAGATATGTGGGAACCTCTTGAAGAAGGAATTCTTCCGTAAGAGCTATATTTGACCCTTACAACAACAAATAGTTTTTATTTTCTCTTCCCTTTAATCTTCTTAATTAGAGTACTCTAGTAAACATTGTTGAATTATCACAGATTGGAGACCACTAGGCATGTGTCCATGATCACTATAACCCTTTCAAAGATTGAATTGAATACATCGTCTATCGGGTAAGTTCCTACATTTATTTCCCTTTACTGCGTTGTACTTTACTATGCTCGGTGCTTTCAGTTTTAGTGAATTTTAAATATTAAGCGTCATTTGTGTTCCTTTTTTAGTTAATATGAAACTAGTTGGCTATAGTTCATTACAAATAATCTTGTTTACTTTCACCTTTATGAATTTTGGGGCCTAGAAAATTTTAGCGTACAGAAAGGGTTTGTGGCTTTAGGTTCTTCTTATGGTGGTGGCATGAAGATAGATGATTAGAAGAACATGTGTAGTCATTTTGAAAGTGACAAATCTCAGGTAAAATGCTTTTTATGTTGATTAATTATGTATTATTTATGAAATAAAATAAACAAAAAGGTATTATATATGCAGTGTCAAAGTAAAGCAAATAAGAACAACAGGGGAAAAATGAGGATTCCACATACTTCATGTAAAAATCATTTGTCCAATGGATTTATGAATTGATATGTTCTGGATTTATTTATTTATTTATTTTGTATTTTATCTAGAATAAAAGTAATTAATAAATTACTTTTTTCTTCTTCAATTTTATGTTTGAGAATTTTTTAATTTTCTAAATTTAGTAGAATACCCAATAAAATATTGAAAACCATTCAGAAGAGTCAAAAATCGAGCCTGCTGAAATGAAACTGTATTATGATGCGCATCATAAAAAAGATGGAACATGAGTTAACCAACAAGCGAAAGAGAACTATGTAAGATTTTATTTGTATAAAATATAATTTTTGTTTATTAAATATTTCAACCTTTTGATTTATTTCACTTATATTTGTAGGAAAAAATGAGAACAATATTAGTTGAAGAAACTGAAAAATGCATTGAAGTGAACAGAGGTCAAATTTTAAAAAAGTTTTAAATTCAAAATATGGTTACATTCGTGGACTTGGTTATGGAGTAAAGTCAAGTAGTTCCAAAGAATTGGAATTGAAATATGCTTTAGAAGCTGAAAAAGGTTGAGAATGAAAAACGAACTCAAGAATTAGTACTTCAACTACAAAACTAAAATGCCAAAAATCTTAACCAGAATGCAACAATCAATAAGTTGAAGAAAAATCAAAATGTTCTCCAAACTCATATTCAACAATTACTTCAAAGATTTGGAGGAAACACATCTGCTTGAATATTCAAGATAATATTATAATTTAATTTTTAATAATAAAATATATTTCATATGTTATTTTTTAAATATTTATTAAAAATTGAATATAATTTAACTTTATCTATTTACATGCAGGTGTGGAAGAATTTATGGACCTTCATTGTGAATTTTAATTTACTTTTATTTATAGGGAGAACTTTAATTTTTTAGCAAAATTATTCTAAACATTTTATGTTTATTTTAATAATATTTAATATTAGTTTTATTGTTATAAAATTTTAAAATATATTTTTAGTTATCATAACCAATTATTTTAGTTATAATAACAAATTTAAATAAAAATTATTTTGTAACATCAACAAATTTATTTAGTCAAAGTAAAAAGTTATATCAAATTTATTTTCTTCTAATATTTTGTGAAAATAAAAAATTGTGACAAATTTATTTAGTCAAAATAAAAAATTGTGACAAATTTATTTAATCAAAATAACAATTTGTAACAAATATTAATTTCTCATCATAAAAAAATTGTGACAAAAAAATATTCTTTCACAATAAAAAATTGTATCAAAATTATTTAGTCACAGTAAAAAGTTATAAAAAATATTTAATGACGAAATAAAAGTAGTGAGAAAATAAATTTTGTTGTAATAAGTTTTTTTTGTCACAAAAACATTTTTTGTTTGATGTTATAATTTAACTTAATTATGACGAAATTTACTTTTTGTGATATAATAATTATTTTATTTTAATAAATATTTTGTCTCTGTAAGTGACATTTCTTGACGAAATAGCAACTGCGAAAAAATAATTTTTGTTGCCTTATGTATTTTCGTCACAAAAACTCCTTATATTTGATGTTTAAATATAAGTTAGTTATGACAAAATGTAATATTTAATTGATTGTGACAAATATTTTATTGTGATAAGTTAATTATAGTAACAAAATTTCATTGTTACAATAAATATTATACAATGATAACGAACACAATTTGTCACATTATACTTTACATGACAAGGTTGTTCTAACAAACATGGTAAATAATAAAATTTGTCAGAATAAATATATAGTGATAAATAATTTTGTTGAAACAATCGAAATTTCTTGTAGTGTTAGTTAAATTATCAAGACATTCACTAAAAGAATTACTATAATATCCATAAACACTTTGATGGCTTTCTCCACATAGTCGTAAAATATACTTAACATGCATCTTTGGAAGGTGGCCACTGTGTTACAAAGGCCAAAGGGTCTCCGTCTATAGGCAATTATTATACCGAAGGGACAAGTAAAAGTTATTTTCTCTTGATCCTCAGGTGCTATTGGAATTTGGAAAAAACCTGAAAAACCATCAAGGCAACAATAATGAGTTTTCTCAGCTAATCTTTCAATATCAACATCAAAGGATCTATAATATCAACAGAATTAATTCTTTCAACATGATCCGGGCATTTCATTGCTTTGTAGACATCCAATTCAACTATCTCACCATCAAATTCCATTGTCAATATACCACTTCTAACATCGATCTTTGTATGTGTTGTGCTTAGGAAGGGTTAGCCTAAGAGTACCTCGGAAGAAGAATCTGACTTATAATGTTCCATGTCAATGACATAGATATCTGCAGGGAAAAATAATAAATCGACCTTTACTAAGACGTTTTCCATCACTCCCACGGGTAGATCACATATCGATCAGCCAACTGTATGGTTATTCATGTTTCCTTCAAAGGCTCGTTAATAATCATTTTATAAATAGAAAATGACATAACATTACATTGCACGTTTAATTTTAAAATCACCTATTTTGCAATGTATAGAGAACATACCTTGATCTTTCATCTTTGGTAGGAGCTTTCATTGAAAAATTACAGAGACATGCTCTCCCAAATTTACCTTTTCATGTCCCATTAATTTCCTCTTTGTAGTGCAAAGTTCTTTTAAAAATGGAGCATACCTTGGTACTTGTCGATTTACTTTAAGAAGAGGTATGCTAACATGAACTTTTGGAACACCTCTAGGATCTCCCTCCATTTAGCTCTTTTATCATGCTTCATCAACCTTGATGGGAAAGGTGGTTGCATGATTTCATGAGAAGAAAGAGAAAAATGTGAGTCAGACGTACCTTGTATTTCTGGAGGTGGTGTTTACTCTTGTTCTTTATGATGTACGGTTTTTTATGCTAGAACTTCGGGTGTGACAACTGTTCCACTTCGGATTGTGATGGCATTAATATTCTCTCTCATATTTAACTCCGTTTGAGAAGGTAATCTTCCTTGTGATTCCAATTTCCCCACGGTTTGAGCTAATCGACTAACTTGGTTATCCAACTCTTGAAGATGTATCTCGGTTCGGCTTTGGAATTTTTCCTGGGATGCAACCAGCTTTTCCTGGGATGTAACCAACTTTTCTTGTGAAATTCTTAACTTTTCTATGATTTCCTCCAATGATGGTTTTTGCGTTTGTTGTTGAGGATGAGGTCTTGGTTGGTATGATGGCCTTTGATTTGTTGCATAGCTGAAGTTTGGGTGGTCTCACCATCCTAGATTATAAGTATTGTTGTATGGGTCGTATTGTCTTTGTCGAGGAGCTGGAAAGTTCCCTATGGCATTGATTTCTACATTGTCTCCTTCTTGTATTAGCGGGCAACAATCTGTCGGATGGTCTAGCTTTGTGCATATCCCACATGCTCTTGTTGCTCCATATTTTCCTGCAATAAGTGAATTAACTACTCCAGTTAATTTATCTAACTTGTTTTCAAGGGAAAATGTACTTATCTCGTGAACCCGTCGGTTGGGTTCACTTGAAAACTGTTGAGAGTTGGCTACCATGGTTGAAATCAATTCCCTTGTTGTTGTTGAGTCATGCTAACTAATGCTCTTCCACTGGTGACATCTACCATTTTCATTTCTATTGGTAAAAAGCCTTCATAAAAGTATTGAATTAACGTTTACTCACTTAATCCATGTTGCAGACAACGTGTGTAAAGCTTTTTAAATCGTTCCAAATAGTTGTAAAGGGGTTCTTCGCTCTTTTGTTGAATGGAAAGAATGATCATTCGTAACTCGCTTGCTTTAGCTGCTGGAAAGAACCTGTCAACAAAAATTCGACTCATGTCAGCCCATGAATTAATTGAATTCAGAGGTAAATAAAATAACCAATCCTTAGCCAAGTCGGCTAAAGGGAAAGCCCTCAATTTAATTTGATCCTGAGTAACTCCCTGTGGTTTCATACTAGTGCAAACCACGTGGAACTCTAACAAGTGTTTGTGTGGATCTTCAGTGAGAAAGCTATGGAAGGTGGGAAGAAGATGAATGAGTCCCGTCTTTAATTGAAACGGAGTCCCGTCACTAGGAAAATTGATTCACAATGGAGTCTGAGTGACAGAAGATGTGGCTAGCTCTCGGATCGTTTGTTCTTCTTCTGCAATCGGGATTTCATATTCGTCATATGCATCTGCTTCAGAGTTTGTTTCCGAATTTGATTCTATTTATGAAATATTCTCTTGTTCTTCTTGTCTTTTTCTTTTTTCTTAAAGTGTTTGTGCGTGGATTCTTCGTGCTCGTGCTTCGATCCACGGATCTAGATCTTCTAATTCACATGGGTTTCTTCTGGTCATAAATCAAAAACTAGAAAAATAAATTAGTACTTGTCGTTAGTCCCCCGGCAACGGCGACAATTTGATAACCGTCGTTTTTCTATCAAAATATTTTCAACTTCTTAATAAATAGAAAGGAAGAGTGATATATAGAAGCAGGGTTAATCCACAGGGACTGTGGTGTTTCTGATTTAGTAAAACATTTTCTTGATTTTAGAAGAAGATAGAATTCCAGATGAAATTGAAAACATAGAATAAAATAAAATAAAATAAGAAAAATAATAAAATATTAAATAATGATTTAAAAATAGTAGTAAAGATAAAAGAGGGTTTTAAATTATTTAAATTAGTATAATGAGATAAAAATTAAATAAAGAAATAAAATAAATAAATAAATTGGGATAAAGAAAACTTATGGTAAAAGCAACCCCAGACTTCAGCTTTGTCTAAAATTCCTCGGATCATCGAAACAGAACTTTACACCAAGATTCACGTCGGCTTACAAGGACAATTTATTACTACCGACTCGGTTTATGTTGTTTCAACAATAACTGATTTCGATATCAGTTTCCTCTTAGCAAATAATTTTGCTAAATGCGTTCTCGAGAAGTCGAATGTGCTTCAATAAGCCAATCCTTCTTCCAACGTTAATCATAACAACAACCAGACCAACGTCAAAT